AGATAAAAAAAAAAAAAAAAAAAAAAAAAAAAAAAAAAAAAAAAAACAATAATAAAAATAATAAAAATAAAAAAAAAAAGAATAAATATAAAAGTGAATATAATAATGATAAAAATGATAACGGGTATGTTTTGGAAATTTTCCCCCCCCCCCCCCCACTCCCAACCCTACGGAGGGCAACGGTTATTCCGAGGGGAGGGGTTCCGAAAGGAGGTAATTTCTGAGGGGGTGGGGGGTTGCTCAGAGAGGATTTTTTCCAGTGGGTGTGAGTAAGATTGGTGAGTTATTAATAAATAACAGCTTCTCTGTGAGTCATTTTCTTGTTACCGGTGTTTCAAAACAAGAATTATTGTTTGCGTTGATTGTCTTTTATCTACGGTCGGGTAAATGCTTTTTTCACGGCTTGCGCGATAGTTTTCTTAAATACAATTGTCATCGGCTCATGAAAAAACTTCCAGGTATCTAGCTGTTGCTTTATTGCACATTTGATTCACCGTAATTTGGTCGTGTTCTAAGCCTTTTTGAAACGTGTTCTCATTGAAGTGAAGTAATGAAAGTTCACGTGATGTTTTGTTTGAATATAACTGGTTCTTTTGCAGATAACATTATTCGTGTAGTCAGCAGTGTAAGGTATCGCCTATATGGTTAATTATAAGCTAATAACGTTATTGAGATTATTAAACACTGTATTAACATGACTGAAAAGTTTTTTCTCATTTTATAGCAGAAAAAAATTATCTTTCGCATAATAAAATAGTGCATCAACCTTTTTGACCCAAATATTCTTTCCAGAGGGTACCCAACTGAAATGAAAAATTAGGAAAATTCCAAACGTGGGGGGTCTAAAGCACAAGTGCCCTCCGTGGAGGGGTATGGATATTTTCTGGAACTACACAATGACCAAAAGATAACTAAAACTGATTGAAACGCCATGTTGTGTCTATCACTACATACAAAGAGTGACCGCATTCTTTTGAGCCCAGCGTTGTTTATTTTCCTTTAGTAGAAAAAATAAGTAGAATACAGTACATCTTTATTTGTTCTGTTTTGAGTTGTTTGTTTTCGCTAATTAGTTTGTTTGTTTTGTTTTGTTCTTTTATTTTTTTGTCTTTTTTTGGCTATGCTTGAATAGTTTTGAACTTTGATGGGGAAAATAATCATGGGCATAAATCGCTGGCACTTCTATTACAAAGTTGCAAAACATTTTCTTTCAGAATTTTCTTTCACAACTTTTACTTTTTCAGTAAATATAGTACTGCAATTTTTGAATCAAGTTATAGTATGTCTACGTCAGACGAACAAATTTCACTGCCAAGCCTCGTTTTGAAATTGTAAACTTGCGAACGTTTTACATGCAGCTGTAAATGAATCATTAATGACGCAGGACCACTCACACAGAGTGGAAATGGAGGAGTCTTGGAGGAGAAATTTACTCGTCTGACCAAAACATTCCAAACATAAGCATGATGATTGAGTTATGAAATATTGGAGGTATATTGGATATACATTGTAAAATCGCAACAACAAAAGGTATAGCAAAACCATTGTTTTTCTCGATCATAAGGGACAAATCACCCAAGTGTAGTTCACTCTGGTGATTTATTATTTCAAATACGCTAAAGAAACGTTTTATTTTCATTGCCTCATAAAACTATTGAGGCACAACAAATCAGGCGACATCTGACAACGGGGCGTTATGATGAAGGACATTCTGAAAAAAAATTCATCCTCGCTAGTTTTTTGTAATAAATTAATTAAATGAAAAACTGCTGTTGAATGTGTAGTGAAATCAATTTAAAAACGACAATTTATCTGTTAATTTGAATATTATTTCCTCGTTTCAATTTGTCAATGGTAAAAATACGTTCTTTTGGAAAAAAAACGCGAGCACAAGCCAATTTCTATTTCAGCTTTTTTATTATTCAGAGTTATTATTTTTACCATCGGTTTTGTTTTGTTTTGTGGTTTTTTGTTGTTGTTCTTTTTTTTTTGTTTTTCCTGGCAATTTTTCTTATTAGTGTTTTCCTTTTTCAATTTTTTTATGACAATTTTTTTATTGAAAACTCCACGGGGGCTTTTTCCACTCTGATCTTACATCATGAATAAATATTGCACTGCTATTGCCTCCATTGACGCTCAATCGCATATANATACGCTAAAGAAACGTTTTATTTTCATTGCCTCATAAAACTATTGAGGCACAACAAATCAGGCGACATCTGACAACGGGGCGTTATGATGAAGGACATTCTGAAAAAAAATTCATCCTCGCTAGTTTTTTTTTACCATCGGTTTTGTTTTGTTTTGTGGTTTTTTGTTGTTGTTCTTTTTTTTTTGTTTTTCCTGGCAATTTTTCTTATTAGTGTTTTCCTTTTTCAATTTTTTTATGACAATTTTTTTATTGAAAACTCCACGGGGGCTTTTTCCACTCTGATCTTACATCATGAATAAATATTGCACTGCTATTGCCTCCATTGACGCTCAATCGCATATATGAGCCGTTTTAATGAGCTTGGATCTCTTTTCCCTTTTCAATACAGATATCTTACGTCCAACAGCACTAGCTATCATCACTATTTATCATTTAATTTTATTGCCATTTTTTATTTTGTCAAAAACTCTTTAGGGGGTTTTGTTTAAGTTGTTAAGTTCCATTCTGACTGCACGCATATAAATAAATATTGTACTGTTAGGTTTCTGCGAAGTATCTCTACGGGCTGCTTTGAAGATCAATCGCTTAAGGGATTTGGAGTTCTTTGCCCTTGTAAATACAGCTACCTTACGCCTAACTACAGTGGCTTGATATATATTTTAAAAAATTAACCATTTACGGTGATGAATTTTTTTACGATACCCAGCTGATAAAATTGAATTGAATGTCGTTTTCGGTAATATTCTTATTTGCAACAATTGGAATAACAAGAGGGAGTAAAATTAAGCCAAAGAACATCTTCGGGTTCAAGTAATTCAATAGCATAATTGACCTTAAGCTACATGCAGTCTGTTCTGCTACCGGACCACATGCTGCTCGTAGCTCGTAGTTCTTATGTGCAAAAAAACCACGCTTTTCCCGCTAATTTGTACTTAAAGAAATGTTTTGAGAGAAAATGATTAAAATCCTTTGCATAAGTCAAGCGATTCACCTACTTTTTTTACTTCATTAACGCACAGTTGTCTTAGACGAACAAGCCGTCAGTCGACCTCTGCACAAGTGTTTCATTGAGTGCCCTGGTAAGTAAAATAATATTAACGAAGCAGTTTTATAGCCTTAACAGATCTTGAGCGATGAACTTAATACTTTTGACATTTGCGTCATATTCTAATTCATTTGAGAGATTTTGTCAAAAGGCCCAAGTGCCATCTATTTGGGAGAACTGAACATCTCACCGACAATACTAAAAACAGATTTTTATCAAAGGCAAGCTAAGCGAAAAACGATGGTATCTTAAACGGTTATGCGAAGTCAGGGGAAAAATTAGTCTAGCTGAATATATTTTTTTCTCTTTTATGGAGGGCTGAGCAACTAAGTACGTTCGACGTTCTCAAATTCATCCTCCTGCTTTTCGATAAAACTGGAATAGCGGTACCTTATTTTTAAATCTTACTTCAGTCAGTGGAAGTAATTCACGTACAGTGTATGAAAAAAATTGGCATGAAAATATAATCTTTAGGAGAAGACATCCTAAACTAAATATTGATTAGATAAGTTAGCTCAGCGCAAAATCTTAAAGTGTAAACCTTTTTTTTTTTTTTACTTCTTGTAGAAAACAATCCCGCTATATCTGAATATATATCAAGTTTCTTGAATACTGGAGTGATGCTCCAAAAGAACTGAAAGTCACCATTGGAGTATTACATGACTGAAGTCCTTCGAACAACTTTAATCATATGATTATGGATGAAAAGTACCAGGCTATACCGTTTTCAAATGCGACAGCAGAAAATGGAACCGTGCAGCCCAACAAGGTTGAAGGATTTAACTTTGCCAAAGAAATTGCAACGCTGCTAACGATTGCAGCGGCGATTGTACTCATTAACAGTGTAGTTTTTTATCTGTTTATCAAGGAGAAGGTTTTGCGAACTACGTCAAACTACCCACTTTTCAGCTTGGCTGTCTGCGACTTCATCTGTGGTTTCGTCGTTATTCCTTTGTTTACAACAATACACTTTACTTCACTGGTTGAGTCTTCGGAAGCGAAGTTCTATCTGGGATTCCTGGTAACTGTTCTTCACAACTTGGTAGCTATCGCCACGGTGTACCATATTGTTGTTGTCACGGCAGAACGATATATCGCCATTATCTTTCCCCTGAAACATCGAGTGATACGCAAGAAATGTATCCAGAAGGTTTTAGTTATTGTTTGGAGCTGTTCGCTGATGATCTCATTGATCCCATACACATGGATTGATAAGATTTTTCCAGTGTATCACCCAGAATGTTCTAAATACGTGCTTGGTTTCACCGCATTCTGTCTGTTGTTCGCCATGATTGTACCATACGTCTTCATGGTGTTCGCGTTTGCTCATATGTCCAAAGCCATTCATGCAACATCTCCAAAAAAGTACCAACGAGCGACCTTCCAAGGACGAAGACACAGTCTGCATTTGAAGCCAACCTCGGGTGAATGGAAGTGTTTGGTACTGTTTGCCATCATGGCTTTTGTATTTTTCGTGTGCTGGGCTCCTTGGTTCGTACTATCTCTACTACACCACTTGCCAATATCCTTGAGACTTGGTTCAATATCTCAAGTTGCCCTCCTTATCAGGTACACTACTTCCGTGGTCAATCCATTACTTTACACCTTTCTCAAAAGAGATTTTCTTCGAGCTTTAAAGCTCGTATTCAGAGCCAATGGATTGAGTAGGCGATTATCTTCCACCTTCTCAGTCTTCTCACTGAGGCGACCAACCTTGCAGACAGATCCTAATCACAGCCCAGGAGAGTTTCTGCCAGGCAGAGACAGTCCGCCGTTGTTGGCATTCCAGCGTGAAGTTTGTTTCGAGAGTACACTGTGAACTTCACTGATCACCATAATTTCAATATAACATGAACAGAACTAAACGGATACTGTTTAAGGTCTACTCTGGTATAAGATACATTTTATGGAGTATTTTCAATACTTCAATCATCAAACACTAGGAAGAGTGTTTGCCAGATATCTAAACCCCGAGAAACGAAAGCACAGTTTGCTTAACAGAACTAAACAGCATACTGTTCAAGGTCTACTCTAGTGTATTATAATGTTTCAATTATATTAACGAAAGCACAGAGCTTCACAGAACTAAAAAGAGAGGGCCAGTTATTTAAACGGTGTTTAGCCAGTGTTTAACAAAACTGTGCTCTAAGCCATTTTCAGTTTGCCGAACTCTTTTATCCAGTTTTATGTAAACACCATTCATAGTGAAC